AAACACATATTGTCCACTTGTCGACGATAAAACCATTTGAAAGCTGCACCGAGGCCTTGAATGTTGTAACCTTCATCAAACAACCATTGAAGAAGATGAAAGTTGTAAAATGAGTGAGTGAGTGAGTGAGTTTGGTTTAACGCCGCTTTTAACAGTATTCCAGTTATATAGCGGCGTGTCAGCTTAATGTGGGAGGAAAGCCCGAAGTGATGCAGGTCTCAGACGTTTACCACTTCGGTGAAACCCACGAGCACGGGGTATGGTGCTGACAAACCTAGAAACATAATCGGGGCGAACCGGGATTCGAACCCACAATCATAGGTTTCTGGCATGCCCAAGGGACGCAACTCTGCACAGCGAATCGCGGCGCCTTAGACGACTGGGCCACCCGTGCCCCCCTGTTGTAAAATGAAGACACCTAGTGCGGGAGCTGCTGCAATATTGCTCGACGTGAAAAAGGGAATCACAGTTTGCGTAATCATTTTCCCATGCTTGCCGTAAAAGGTAAACAAACAAACAAACTTACTTTGTAAGGTTAGGTATACATCTTTTTCGGGCAAGAAAATATCATGCCATTTTTAAATAAGGACTCCTTGTGTTTCGTTTCAGAGACGTGGTCACTGTTACGAGTGAAACTACCAATATTTTCGTGGCCTTGTTGTCTTCTCAACCCTTGGGTTCATGGCGCATCGGGCTCACATACCTCTACCAGACGTTGTTTCTTCGGGTAAATGTATTTATTCTTTTGTACATTTGAAGGTGCCATTTGTAGTGATAATGTAGAACCGTGAAGATTCCGGGGTAGAATCGGTCTCCAGCAACTCATGCTTGCCGTAAATAGCGACTATGCTTGTCGTAGAAAGCGACTAACAGGGTCGGGTGGTCAGGCTCTTTGACTTGGTTGATGCATGTCATCGTATCCCAATTGCGTGGATCGATGCTCATGATGTCAATCACTGGAATGTCTGGTCCAGACTCGATTATTTACAAACCGCCGTCATATAGCTGGAATATCGCTGGGTGCGCCGTTCAGCAAACAACCAAGTGAACCATATCCGTGCTTGTTGGTTTCACGTTTGAGACCAGACCAATCTCATTAAAATCAGATCTTAGTTCTCGCTATCGCTAAACAAAGATCTGAGGACATCCTATTACGGGTCACGTCAGAACGACCTTTCATCCAACCAATCGGAGCGTCGCTTACCAGATCGTGAAAGTGACAGTCGGAATGTGTTTTCTGATCATGCAACCACGAAATATTTAACACGGGGTATTCCGATTGACAGTTACGGGTTTTATGATTATATCCATACAATCTAGGCCATCTATAAGCCATTCCAGAATGTTCTTCTTATCAGTTTTAACATTTTTAATCGAGAATACATACATGTTACGAAAGTAGTCGCCACTTTGAAGCCAGTGTCGTAAAGCTCGAGAAAGCTGCCTTCTGATTGGCTAGTATCGATTTCTTGTCAGTCATTTCATTGGTCGGTCAAAATTAACGAAAGGTCGTTCTGACGTGACCCGTAATGGGATGTCCTAAGATCTTTGTTTAGCGGTAGCGAAAACTAAGATCTGATTTGAATGAGATTGAGACCTGACTCACTACTAGCTGTCTTCCCACGTCAAGTTGAAAAGCTGAATTCACGTGTACATGTTTTACATACCAGTATTCGTTGTTGGATGACATATCAATATTCTCCGTTACAGCATTCGAGAAGAGTTAGCATTCGATGTTCGCGACAGGCTATCATATATCTTAAGAAAAATGTTAGGGGTCACGAATATTTTCTGGGATATTTTTAAGTAACTGTGAGCTCTGTCTTCGCTACAAACATACCTCTGAAAATATTCATAATCACTACTTTCTTTGTTCATATTTTTTCGAATTATGAAAATAGTTTTCGTGAACAACCTAAGCATTTAACGTTTATTATACCTTTCAGGTCGGGGGCATATACTGTTATACCAAGGTTCCGTCCGTCCGTCCGTCCGTCCGAAAACTTTGTCCGCGCGATTTCTCTTAAACTATTCAGTGGATTCATCTCAAACGTAGTACATTTAATCTGTGTCATTTGGAGGGGTGCAGTAAAAAGAAAATTAATTTTCCATTTTTTATGAATTTTTGCAAACCCTAACCCTTTATTGTGGTACTCTTTTTACAAAAAACAGACTAAATGTATAAAAGTTTAACAATCAAGGGTATTTGTAGGCTCGATCTGGTTACATTTTTACTAATTTATATTAGTGCTTTGAAAATAGCTTGCATGACTAAAACAGAGTTGACACTGAAAAGGTTGAAGTTGGGGATATCAATAAGCTCTGCTTACTTTTTCCCTTTTTTCAGTTATTTCACTGAAACTTGGTATTTCCAGGTAAGCTACAGGGCCACGCGTGACACTATTTTTAAGCTATCTAATTTGAAACTACTGACACACTAGGCGGGTCGGGGGTATTATTGAGCTACGCTCACTTTTGCCCTTGTTGAAATGGAATCAACACGATAAAGTGAGTATGTAGAAGGCATGAATAATTCATAACTATAACAAAATGACGGCGTAGTCAGATTTCAAAAGGAATTTAGAGACTTTTTGATATTCCGACTTGCTGGATCTACTAAAAAACACGTGGCCAATTGTGCCTTGAAGCAGTTGTTGCTATGGAATCGTAGAAGGGACATATCGCCCTAAGGGAAAATTAGTGAGTGAGTGAGTTGGGTTCAACGACGCTTTTAACAGTATTCCAGTTATATCACGGCGTGTCAGCTTAATGTGGGACGTAAGCCAGAAGTGATGCAGGTCTCAGACGTTTACCACTTCGGTGAAACCCACTAGTACGGGTATGGAGATGATAAACCTAGAAACATAATATGGGTGAACCGGGATTCGCAACTCTGCAAAGCGAATCCCGGCGCCTTAGACGACTGGGCCACCCGTGCCCCGGGAAAATTAAAAATAATTAACCAAAGGGCGACATAACGACAAGGCTACATTTTTACCATTTATCGCATTGTTGCGTGGTCGCATTATCGCGCTTTGAATAATATTCCTGTTTTTTCCAAAGGGTGACAACGCGACATTTTCAGTGTCAAAATATGTCGCTTGAGTATGAGGAGTATAATCAGTTCTGTGCTTGCAACACATTCACACAATTAATTAAATATCAAAATGCGGCTTTCACACATTTAAATTTGGCAACAACGCGACATGTTTTTAGTCGTATTAAGCGGGTAATATTCTTTGTTCACATGCTCAACACTAATTGAAACGAGCGACAATGCGACGTTATGAAAACGTCGCATTGTCGCGCATTTGAACGCCTTTTGCACACATTTTATATGGGGGCATCTTTTGACCTTGAAAAAGTCGCGTTGTCGCCCTTTTGTAAAATCAAAAATATTTTTAAAAGAGACAAATGGTCGAAAGTCGCTTAGTCGCTGTGGTTCTTTTTTTTTTTACACGTTTTGCTTGTTTTTGTTTGGGCGACAACGCGACAATGTCCTTTCTAGGTTTCCATAATGGTCGAAAAGATATTCTGTCTCAAACAGACATTCCTACATAACAAGATATGTTCCTTCATAACTGATGGTGAGTTGGAATATTCTCAACCGTGATCCCAACAGTGAATGGTTGAACTGTGCTCCCAACTACACTAGTGTAGGGCTCAACTCTACTCCTAACAGTGCCAGGACCCTGTGCTGTGAACATTGTCGGTATTCAACCGTGATCCCAACAGTGAAGGGTTGAACTGTGCTCCCAACAGTGTAGGGCTCAACTCTACTCCTAACAGTGCCAGGACCCTGTGCTGTGAACATTGTCGGTATTCAACTGTGCTCCCAACACTGACGGGATTCAATTGTGCTCTCGACAGTGCCCGGACTCAACAGTGCCGAGATTTAAATGTGCTCTGAACAGTGCCGGGATTCAATTGTTTGCCAGCGAGGCACAATGACTGTAATCGGTTCTCTCGTAGCTGTAGTGCTTGTGAAGCTATGTATCTCCTCCCATCAATATGGCGTCCAAGTGACAATGTTTCGACCATCCCGGGACTGTTATTCCAAACGAAATCCACAAACGTCGGACAAGCTTACTGAATCGTTCGTACGATCCTTTCTGGAGTGTGCGACCCTGTGTGGGTCTTTCTCTGGTCAAATACCCACCTCGGGAAGGATTCGACCTCTATACCGATGTGAGAGGCGTGGACCTGGTGATGCATCATGTGCATATCACAGACAAACGTGTGTTATTCCTAAGCAAGTAAGTTTTTAGATCTTCAAGCAAGGCACACCTAATTGTGATCATATACCAGTAGTTTGAGGATCCATTGGTGTATTACGAAGTATCATTCCGTAAAATGAGATGTTGATTTTGGGGTTGTGTCTGATGTTGATCGTTCACTAGTCTCCACGAGGATCATACTACTCACAGTAGTGTTTCGAATCTCGGATTATGACCCTTGGTTTGTCAGCACCCGTGAAGATCCGGGGTAGAATTGGTCTTCATCAAACCCATGCTTGTCGTAAAAGGCGACCATGCTTGTCGTAAGAGGCGACTAACGGGATCGGGTGGTCAGGCTCACTGACTTGGTTGATACATGTCATTGATCCCAATGGCGTGGATCGATGTTCATGATATTAATCACTGGATTGTCTGGTCCAGACTAGATCATTTACAGACTGCCGTCATATAGCTGGAATATTACTGAGTACGGCGTTAAACAACAAAACAACCAACCAGCCATACACGTGATCGCTGACAATAGTGGTGTTTAGATATGAAATTTATCGCAAGTAGAAAGGTATGCTTAAATGTTTGTAAATAAGTTTTTATCTTACATAACGAACGAACTTGAGAAAAAAACATTTGTGTACAATCATACACGTGGCGATTTTTGTGGAAGTATATATTTTCGCATTTCTTCATGACGTCACAGCACATTAACAGTCTAGAACCCGTAAGGTCCCTTTCCCCAAGCTGGTGGGTCACATGTATTTACAGCAATTACATATTTAATATTTGCTAATTTATGGGAGAACATTTTATCGGGCATTGTTTGTTGTTTTGTTTTTTATTTATTCCAGTTCACGCCATCAAGAAAAGAACATAAATGCAAGTCTGGGCAGGTTTGTGAAACTACAGCATCAAGTATGTATGAAATTATTTGTATCAACCTTTTAGAACGGGGGTATATAGTTATTCCAAGGAATTCCGTCCGTCCGTCCTTCCGAGGACATTTTTTGTGTGCGACCTATAGCTTGAAAACTACAGCATAGACTCTTTTCAAACTTGGTGAACACTTTTTATACCAATAGGAGAGGTGCAGTGCGAAGTTTGAGTTGGATTTTCAGAAAAAATACAGCAACGTTTCCTTTTTTACTTAGAATTGTTTACTTTAACACTACTGCATGGATTTTTTTTTTATTTAGCGAACAGTTTCCATACTAATAGAAGAGCAAAGTGCAAAGTTTGGTTTTGATATGTGGATGTTCTGAGAAAATATGAATTTGTACATGTTTTGAACTTAGAATGTTTGTTTTACTTCAACATTTGTGCAATCTATAACTTGAGAACTACTTCATGGATTCTTTTAAAATTTAAGGAACCCTTTCTATAATAATAGGTGAGGTGCTGTGCAAAGACTGATTTTGATATAAGTATTTTCGGATTTAAAAAAAAAGAATTCATGTTTTTTTAACTCTGGATTTGTCTCCCATTGAGGGTACAGATTCTATACCAGTAGGAGAGGTGCAGTGCAAAGTGTGATTTCGATAAGTGGATTTCTGAGAATTCATTGCCTTTTTTATGTTTATTTGTGAGCCCTGTACTCTTTAATAGTATTAGTTCGTCATCATGACATGTGAGTGAATGTACCTATGAATCTCCGGGACAGGTACCATTGACATTTTGCTGTGCTAAGTAGGGCAGTAGATATCGCGGTAATTCCACACTGCCAATGTTTCATATACAATGAACGAAAAGTAGACCACATGGGAGTATTTCAACGGAAATATAACGCAGAGCATCATGGTGTAATGTACAATTGATGCGGCATTCATTGGTTGTCACCCTTGTGGATTCATGGGCTTAATAGGCCCCCAGTTTTCGATGCTTGTCGTAAGAACCGGTAATAGAGGACTGATTGCCTTGGCATCACAACGCTGAGAACCACCTGCAGATGGCACACATATATAATCTAGCTCTCCTTTGACGGGTAGGAATATCCCCATATCTGACACAAGATAGCTACCCCATAATCCACACATGACCGATATATGATGAGTGAGTGAGTATGGTTTTACGCAGCTTTTAGCAATATTCCAACAATATCACGGCGGAGGACACCAGAAATGGGCTTCACACATTGTACCCATGTCGGGAATCGAACCCGGGTCTTTGGCGTGACGAGCGAACGCTTTAACCACTAGGCTACCCGACCGCCCCCGATATATGATGAGTAGCTGTGCCACTTCAAATGACGGAACTTTAGTTCATGAGATCTACCAACGGGTCATGGGAAGTATACAACCCAAGTTGCCTGTGGTGCTAGTAGGTTATACACATCACCAACTCATCCTCCCGGGTACCCACCAAAACCGCATAAATACCGTGAAAAATACATGAACAAAAAAAAAAGATTAAGAAAGTATGCATAGCTGAAGTCGCTACTAGGTTGCATACACAATAATATGACAGTTAAACATATTTTTAAAATGACACCAGTGTTGTCACTAACAAAGCTGACTACCGATACACCCGTGAAGATCCGGGGTAGAATAGGTCTTCAGCAACCCAAGCTTGTCAACCACTGGATTGTCTGGTCCAGACTCGATTATTTACAGACCGCCGTCATATGGCTGGAATATGTCTGTGTGCGTTGTTTAATAACAAAAGAACGAACGACTACTGATACATTAACGTATTGCAAGTCTAGATCTGTTTTTATATTTTAGGCTGCAAGGAAATACGAAAATCTGGCGCAGGAAGTAAAGAGTACACGGTGTTGGTCAAATTCAGTTCAAAGACACTTACCATATTCTGTGACATGCAGCCAACGAAAACTGTGACCTTTCTGCATACGGCTTCGCTACGGAACATAAGCGACCTCAAACAGTTCTACGACAACAACACACAAGTTGTTTTACGACATCGGTGGGTTGATGGCAGACAATATGACAGTATCTTGGAGCAAATACAATCGTTAACCGCAATACCACTAACGATAACCTCCCCACAACCTGATGGCTACCCAAAGCCGATCAACACCGTTCTTGGAGAATATATATACCTATGTTTTCAACCAAATGTTTTCCCAAAGTCTATTAATGGTTTTCGAGCGAACGGACAGGACTTCAAATTCAGTAACTCAGATATGTCACGAAATAGTTACTTTGCTTTTTATCCAAATATTGCAAAACGGCAATCATCCAGTTCGATGAACTTCACAGACGGTTTAATTGACGTTATGGGATGGATAAAATCTTCGAGGAAGGTCCGGGACAGCGTCCTCCTGTCAAAAGATTATTTCTATGTTACTGAGATTCACTTTGGTGGGAACGGAGGGCTGACAACGTCGACGTTATGGAGCTCCGTCACGGGGACATCGCTTGGTCTCATACAGGCCCTGTAAGGCTGAGGTCGACCTGGATGATGAAGTGTATCCTACCAGGAAACGGGAATCTGGCCAAAGGTTTCAGATACATCGATGATCTGATACTGTTCAATAATGGTGAATGACCTAATCCCATCCACTGACTTACCCACCTACATTAGAAATACAAGCGACGATGTGTAAAAGATTCACTTTTTTGTGTAAAAGATTCAGAGTGACAATAAAGTATCAACAAAACTTTCTGACAAGAGGGATGACTTCAACTTTTATTTTATGTCGAGCAATATTCCAGCAGCTCCAGTCTTTGGAAGCTACTATACATTTCACAACTATTGATTTCAAAGTGCGTCACACGACTCTTTCTTAAACATTTATCAGAGTTAACACTTAATTATTATAATTCACAGATTAAAATATAAAATGCAGCAAAGGGGGTTTGAGTGATCCTGGCACAGTCAGGCTGGTTAGGCTCATCATCAGCTCAGGGCCCTTGCCCCCTCTACACGCAGCCCAGACAGCGAATGGGACTTCTCCCAGGAAGCGAAGCCAAGTCAAACCCACCCAGAACTTTTCTGAGAATGTGAAGACTCCCAAAGACTGCAGCCTCCTGCATTACCCAGATTTACAGAAGAGGTGTATTCATGGTAGCAAACGCGGGTACTCTCCCACTGTCAGTCAACAGATTGGGAGGTACTAAACGTGAGGCATCAAGAACAATGGGGAGTCGGACAACTTGGTACTTGGGACATTTCGAAAGCGAGGTCTGCATATTTGCCATGCTTTTCCTGAATCTTGGGGCGGTCGGGTAGCCTAGTGGTAAAAGTGGTCGCTCGTCACGCCGAAAACCCGGGTTCGATTTCCAACATGGGTACAATGTGTGAAGCCCATTTTTGGTGTCCCCCCGCCGTGATATTGCTTGAATATTGCTAAAAGCAGCGTAAAATCAAACTTGCTCACTCCTGAATCTTGACATTAGTGTCAAAAGGAACAGAAAATTCAATAATGGATTTCATTGGAATTATCCAACATGACAAGATCAGATTTGTTGGCATGGATAGGTATGAGGCCGTATACGGGCCTATTCCAAAATATTTTGTATTTATGATTTTTCATAACACTCTCTACATATTCTGGGTCGTACCATGAATGGACCTTTGTATCAAAACCACAAGCATGGCGAAGACGGTGATAAAATGATCGAGCCACTCCATCATGTCGTTTAAAATACTGTGTTTGTGCCAAAGCTGGGATTCCAATGACAATGTGTTGGACAGTCCCATTAAATTCAATATGAAGCTCCCGTTAGTTCAATTACACAGTTAAAATTTGGTTTAGAATGTAAACACAGACAAGACATGTTTAGACCTAAACATTAGGAATGCGTTTACATCCTAAACAGAATACACGTTTGATGTGGCTATCTAAACGCATTTAGGCCTAAACACATAAAATGAGCTATCGCCTCACAGCCACAACACAACCTTAACACCATATCCCCATAATCTGAAAAATGTTCAGAATTTGAAACACGTTAAAACATGTTTAGATTTTAAACATGTCTGAACATGTTGAGATTTTAACATGTTTAAAGTTTTAGCATGTTTAAAATCTAAACACGTTTAAACATGTTTCGTATTCAAACATGTCTAATGTTAAAATATTTTTAGAATTTAAACACGTTTAAACATGTGTCCATCAGATTGACAGGCACTAGCATAACACATATACCCCCGAGATCAACAACGAACATGGTACAATATTAACATAAGAATGTCCAACTTAACAAAACTCGGTTAGTGGTGACAAGAAATATTGATATTTGTGGCAACAGGTGGTAGCGTGAGGTACTTCAAATCAAGAGGTTGCAGGGTCGTACCCCGTGGAGGTTCAAACGTTTATATATGTGTTGTAACTCTTTGACTAATAGTATTTCTCTCATACAGGAAGCTGAAAATATTTCTGATCACAACGATAGACCCTTGATTTGTTTTAGTTACCACCACCCACACCATCCACACCCACACCCACACCCACACCACCCACCCACACAACACACACTCACTTCTGTATCCCCATTTAACACGAGTAAAATATAGCAAGAACACCTTTTCTAAATTACCTGCAATGAATTCCAAGGGGTTTTCACTTTTAGACCCTAAACTCGTTTAGCTGTTAAACACAATCCTAAACATGTTAAGACCTAAACGTCAAAATTATGGGACAATGAAAGTATTTAAGTTTGTGTTTAGGACGTAACACATTTTTACAGTGAAACGATTTCATTTCAAATATCTTAAAAATAACTACTTATACTTGATAACCTGCAAATAACGTTTGTTCTGTACGTGGTACACACATCTCCTTAAAAGTACTCGCATCTTAAAAGTGTCTAGGACATCGTGCTTATGATATTACAGTTTGGACCGCCGTCATATAGCTGGAATATTGCTCATTGCAAGTATTTCAGTTTGATCAATGAAGATCCGGGGTAGAATAGGTCTTCAGCAACCCAACTTGCGGAATTCCTGGGCTCGATCGTAGCGCCACCAGTGGCTATTACGAGTTATGTCCATTCTATGCCTCTCCCATATGGACGATGCTTTGCAAATCCTGCAATCGACCGAACTCTGCATGACAGTTTACGAACCAGATTTCGATTTCGGTTCGCGAATTGGATTAGACTATGCATAGACTCGTTAGTCCAGCCAAAATCTAACTCCATAATCCCAGCCTTGTTCGGCAAGGGTGGAAACTGGACTTTTATAGTCAGTTAACTCACTTGCCTCGGGAAGATGGTCGTAAAAGGCGACTAATGGGATCGGATGGTCAGGCTCGCTGACTTGGTTCATGTATGTCATCGTATCCCAGTTGCGTGGATCGATGCGCATGATGTCAATCCTGGATTGTCTGGTCCAGACTCAATTATTTACAGACGCCGTCATATAGCTGGACTATTGCTGAGTGCGGCGTTAAAAAACAAATAAACAAACAACAGGTTGGCGAGCAGACAGCGACAAGAACCTCACTAAACACCAACCTTTTAACAGAGGACAGAGAACCCACACATGTGTTGCGCTCCGACTTGAGAACTGGCCAACAGTAACTTCCAGGAAAAACAGCGGGACAGCACACGTGAAAATTCCAAAAAAGTAGGGTATGAGAAACGCACCTGACAAAAGAAAGTAATTTATCAATGAGTGTAGGAACATGGTATATTTGGAAGGAACAATAATGTAACGTTAAAGCAAACATTCGAAGCAAAGGAGAACATTACAAATGTTATCTCATAGTAATATTACATTAACGTACACTAAGGTCACCATGTTACATACTAACCACAGACCCCGCTGTGAAGTTCATCTGTGAGTGAGTTTGGTTTAGTACCACTTTCAACAGTACAGTAAACTACGGTTATAACGAACTCAAAGGGACCACTAATTTTAGTTCGTTATAACCGTAGTTCGTTATAAGCATGTAAAACATATGTACAGCAAATGGTCGGGACAAAAGAAACAAGTTCGTTATATCCGTCATTTCGTTATAGACGTAGTTTACTGTATTTCAGTTATATCCAGGCGACTCAGCTTGAAGAGGGGCGAGAGCTCGAGGTGATACAGGTCTCAGGCGTTCACCTCCTTGGTGAAACCCACGAGCACAGCCATGGTGTTGATACATCTAGGAACCAAGAGGCCGAATGAGGCCGGCGCTGTTTTACTTAGCCCGCGTAATCACCAGATGCAAATTAGCGACCAAACAAACCGGGGTTCGGACCAGTGATGAGGCAATTGGAGGACCTCATTGACAGCGAGGAGGGAACCCCCTTGAAACCTCGCATTTGATTGGATGATGCTTACTATAATTTTTCATTTTACAAATTTGTCTGCGTGTGTAATTTTGTATGTACAAATTAGACGTTTAGCATACAATAAATACGTGTAGGAGTTATTTTTGCAACAATGAAGTTTAGTTCATTGGTTGGTTGGTTGGTTTGTTGTTTATCAGCAATATTCCAGATATATGACGGCGGCCTGTAAATAATCGAGTTAGTCGCCTTTTACGACAAGCATAGTCACCTTTTACGGCAAGCATGGGTTGCTGAAGACCCATACTACCCCGGAATCTTCACGGGTCTTTAGTTCATTACTCAAAACAGCATCGACCCATGTATACAAAACTACTCTCTTCTTGCCGTCCACTTTAAAACCCTACACCTCTAAATTTGTCTTCATGCACTTAATGCTCTGTTAATGACTTTGTTACGGGTATTATTAGTGGTAGAACCACTCTGTCTGACTACACGACAAAGACACCCCCTCCCCCCCGTCCCTCTGAGGGTGTCAAGGACAAATAGCAATCAGTGGTTCGCATGTAGCATTTCTTTTGTCTGGGGTAATTATTTAATCTAAGATTAACCAGGTCTGATGTGGTGAATGTATTCCATGTCATGTAATATGCACGTGGCAGCATAGCAAGAGAGGAATGGTCAGTTGAGTTGCAAGCAACATCGTTCAAAGGATAATATGTTCATTGATTCGAAAGTGTTTTCTTGCACAAAGGATTTGTCAAATGAAAGTGTGAGTACATGCAGGTTTACTAAAACAGACGGAATACACCCATATCGGGACAACATACTTTGTTCAAAGGATTAGTTGATAATACATTGGTTGATTTATGATTGTTATCTAACACGTATCTATCTATCTATCTATCTATCTATCTATCTATCTATATATATATATATATATATTGCGTGGAGGACATTTCCAAATTTGACGCATCAGTGACAAAAATGATACAATTCCTTATTCTGACTTGTAGCATAATGTTCCCGTGCGTTTTAGGTGAAACAATTGACTTTCCTTTGCGTGTGTTTGTGACGAGTGCCATTGGTGGATCAGGATAAGCTCATCTATTTTTAACACATGTTATCATGTTAATTTGGTATTGATTCGTGAGCACATCCTCGTGATACCGGAATCGCACAATCGACTCTGATTTTGGCAGAGATTTCATCTGAATATGGAAAGGGTTTTGTCACTATTAATCCTTATTGTGTTATCACGACACCATTTAAAGCTGTGACATCTGAAATCATCAAGTCATTATGCAATTTCGGAAACATGTACATTATTAAACTGCGATGGCAGATGTAACACCGATCGTATAACAGGCATTTGGTCGGCGAAGTTGATAATGCAATA